TCACACATTTATAATAACATATAATTAACATGGATTATTAACTTATTTGCCGAGATCCGACCCGATTCATTTAAGGTGGAGCGCCACACTTCCTTAATTACTCCAAACCACCTTTGTTAGCTTCTTGACGATGAATAGTACTGCCACCTTTTCCACCACCCGCATCGCCACCCCCTACACGCCCAGTCCAACCTCTGGTTGCAACCTTAAAGTGATTGGAATCTCCACCGCCTCTGCCGCTGCCTCCACTGTATGATTGGCCGCCATACCGATATCTGACACACCGTCGGGCGCCGTACTCAAATCTCCGATCATCAACTCCTCCTTGATATCCGGACCCACCAGCGCCAGCCGATGCCGACCCATCGCCACCGAAGGACTTCGACGACGACCAACTGTAGCCGGTGCCGAATGACGATGACCCATTGGCATTCATGATCGTAATCGTCGGTGGGATGACGTCGCTGCAAATGCCAAGTCCGTGATCAGCACAGCCATGAACAAAAACCCTATGAGCTTCGAGCTGGCCATCTCAAAAATCCAAAAGCTCAAACAAATTAAAAAACAACTTAAACGCGTGAGAGATGAGATGACCCATGTTCATATATAGGAGACTCTAGATCAGGGTTTTTCCTCTTTACGGTAAAAACTTTTGCAGTTTTAAGAATTGGCCATTAGCCTCTTCAACACAACCATACAACAACAAAATTCTTTTGGAAGGAAAGATATTAATTAAGAGACATGATGACTCAATTAACAATTTCGTCTATAAATCATTTCTTTGTCATACTTGTTTGTGACAACACATGACTAAGGCAAGAGCCTTTAATGACGAGTCAATTGAAAAGATAAAATAAGGTAGTACGTACCACTTTGTTACCATATATATATATATATATATTATATATATAAGTCACTTTCATATGGTAATTAATAACCTTTTTTTTTTAAAATTTACCCCCTTTGAATGTAATTAAAAAAAGAGTGAAAGAAAAATGCATGACATTTTTTTTTTCCGACACCCTTTCTTTAATAGGGGTAAGTGTGATTTTTTTTTTTCAATTTGATTCTTCTTGATATGCGAGAATAAGATACAAGTGACCTAAATATAAAAATAGTACTTATATATATATATATATATATATGTATATTACCTACTGCCTTACGCGCTACTCTGTTCATTAATTATCTTAATATGAAGAAATTAAGGGTAGACGTTAATGATGGTACTTTTGATGTGGTTGGTCATGCGTGTTCGTTATCTTCTTCATCTCTATATATATATTTCTATTTATAAAACTAAACGAATACTTCTATGATTAGTTATTATTTGCTGGCAGACGTAGAAATTTAATTAATGCATGATGAGTATCATAATTCTAAACCTATAGTTATGTGGATATAAAAGCTTAACATAATTTGACATGGATCAAACATTGCAAATTTAGAATTAGGGTGGATATCTAGTTGTCTTTAACTTGTTTAATTTAATTTTATACCAGAAATGTTTATTTTTAATAACATAAAGAAGCACTTTAGTATTTGTTGTCCTTAATAAATTATTAAAAATATATTAAGCCAAAAATCACAAAAAGGACACGGCACCTATAAATTTGACCTTGCAGCTAATATATTTTTGTGTGAGTGCGCATTAGACTATATAGACAGAGTGAAATGATGTTTAATATATTTATGTTAATATATAAACCAATTATTAATGCCTGGTTAATTAAAAAAACCAATTATTAATAGTATTATCTGTGGTAACCAATCATTAATAGTATCATCTGTGGTCTTTAATATAAAATTAGTTGAGTTGATTAATTTAAAAGATTAAAGAAGTGAAATAAATTTAAAAAAATTGTATTCACCAATTTTCTTCAAACTAATTAATCCAGCTTATAGACTGATATATAATCTAATACATAAAAATATTTCAGAGATATCATATAATAAAAGCTATAATTAAGTAATTTTTTAGCTTTTTTAATTTCTTCAAATTAGTCAACCACATATTATATTAAAAATTGAAGGTAGTATATGTTTTGAACAATGTTATCCACTTTTTAAATATATATATATATCCACACACACATCTTTCAAAACCTGTAGCTACAATAATACATAACGAATACATGTCAAATATATTCATGAAAATTTCGGAGACAATTAAACGACCCAGAATATGGCCTTAATTAATACAATAACATCTCACTTTTGTACATCCTCGATTCCCAGCACAACACATGCGCACCTCTTACAGCCACGACAAGATAACAATTTCCTCTTCATCATCATCTTCAAGAAACAGAGAAAATCCAAAAGAGAAGCCCAACTAATAAAAATTAGAAAAAATCGATTAAATCTGTGAAAAAGTTTTTTTAAAAAAAAAGGTTCGTCGTGTCGAATCTGACGATTAAGAGTTAACCATGGCTTCTCTGTCTCTATATCGTTGGAACCATGTTGTTGAATTGATCACACCTTTGCCTTACTTCACCGCCCTTCCTGTCTTCACTCCAAGCACCTCCAGTTTCTCCATGGCCTTTGCGAAATCCTGGAAGAACGCATTCTGATCTTTCGCGTATTGTTCAACAATCGGCTTCGTCCTCGGATCTCTTCCCAGAAGCGAATCTGAGCTCAGAGCCTAATCCAATCCAGCAGCGTTCTGGTAATACGCGTTATCGAACTTGCCCGGCGATCTCATGTCGTTGAACGCCGACATTGATGGGTCTTTCGTGTAGTTCGCGCATAGTTTCTTCTTCAATCCTTCCACCAGTTTCGGATTCATCGTCGGATCTACCTGGGATGTTTTGCTGAAACCGAAGATCCTGTGAGCGAACTCCTTGCAGTGGGTGAATCCGATGGTGTGGCCGCCGGTGAGAGCCACCATTTCTCGGACCGTGAAGTTCTTCGACGTGAACTTCTCGATATCTTGTCCATGGTGAAATCTGGCTTCGGTAAGGCCGCATCGACCTTCGAAGCGTTTGATGAGAGACTGTCTTTTCGTCCCAATGGCACAGTGTAATATGGCCCTCCGACCATCTTGATCAGATCGCGGGTCGATTGGGCCATGATGTCGGCGCAGGAGACGACCCGGGACACGTGAGCTCGAGGGCGTTTTTGATCTTGAGGATGAGGTCGAAGGCTTCGGCGGAGAGGGAGAGGTTGAGATCGGCGTCACGCTCGGCTTTCATGTAGCCATTGGAGCTTATGAGGATGGAGGCGTCACAGCCGTCGGTGATGCAGTCGTGGAAGAAGAGGCGGAGAACGCCGGGGGCGGTGGACGGGGTGGTGGATTGCTTGCTGTACACGAGTTCTGCGACGGTTTGCTGGAATTTAGGGCATGTTTTCTTGTAGTAGTCGAGAGAAAGCTGGTTTTTGTGTGAAGCTGAGGAGGAGAATGGAATGGTCACGAGGAAGAAGTAGCAAAGGAAGAGAAGCGGGAAAGCCATGGAAGATATAGATATATATATGTATAGATTAATGTTTCTGTGAAAGGAAGACACAGAAAACAGAGAATGAGGAGAAAGGGAGCGATATCATAAGAGGAAGAAGAAGGTGGTGGTGGTGAATGATGAGAATGGAACACTTCTTGCTTCCTCTTTGGGCGTTGGTTTCAGAAGCCAGCGATGAGAAGAAAGAGAAAGGAGAGAGAGGGAAGGGGAATTAGATCATCAGAAAATGCGTTTGTTTCGGAGGAAGAGGGGTTTGAGGATGATTTGTGAGTCTTTGCTAATTTTGGATGGTCAAATTAAACTCTCTTCACAAAATCTTTCGAAATGTAAAAGGTGCATGTTGTTCATTTTGGAATTTGGGATTTAAAGATAGTGGCACCCCCAAGTCCAACATCCAACGTTAATTTAATAACTTTTCCATAAATTGCATGTTTGATGGATTTCTCTCTCTCCCCCCACCTGCATGGTCTAAACTCAACATACCTTACTCCAATTATATTCTTAATATTGTTGTGTATGATACACCGCGTAGTATTGAAAACGGGACTGAATCGGCTGGGTTGGATCCGAAACAGACCAATCAAGCACCTAGCCGTTTCAGTTGGCAGCAAAAACTAGTGATGGGGTTGACATGGGGGCGACTCAATGTAACCCGGTCAACTAACCGGCTTTGATGGGTTAACTCGATTATGTGTTTTTTTCTTTTTCTTTTTTAAAAAGTTGTTTTAATGCTAAAATATTATTAGTTTAGTGACTAAGGATTGTAGATATAAATATTTTGTTACCATAAATCTATTTTGATATTTTGCAAGAATGAATATTTAGTGATTTTAATAGTACAATACTATGATGTCAATTTGTCAAAAAAATTGTAGACAAAATTAAAAGAAAATGTAAGTATATGATTATTTTGTTAGAAATTCAATTGAAATTTAGTCTTTTGGATCATATTCATATGATAGGAATCTAAATTAATTTTCAATTTCAATTTTTTAATTCCTCACCTGTTTAACCTCTAATTTGACTCCAGTATAACCCATTAACCCTTCATCCACTGTTTTGATTGGTTCAGAGACCAGCACCTTGGATACATGATTGTTATATATCCTAGATGTATAATTTTATCTAAAAAATATATCTATTAATTATAAGAAACTTTTACCAAAAAGTAATTTCAGTGCTCATGATTATAGTTAGTTTAACTAATTTTTTTAAATATCTTTAAATTAATTATTTATTTCTTATATTAAATGTCAGAGTACTTATCCTGTAATTATATTTACATCTTACATGCAGGATTTTTGCTTGAATACTTTTATGATGAAACAACCTATACATACACATATGATATATCTACACATCTAATGATTAAATTCAGTCTAACAGTCTATGCTTGCAGTTGTTTCTCGTTAATTTTTCATACTCTCAGCTTAATAAAGCATAGCATAATAGAGGCCTTTATAACTTCATTATGTTATTTTTGATAGGAAATTAAAAAAAAAAAAACCTTTTAGTTACTTTGTCTCTCTCCCTCTCTTTTTTTCTCAATAATAGGAAGCCGGAAGCCCCTTCAAATAGTTCTCAGCAGCAAGACAACGACCATGCTATGCATTTGTTATAAATAGATAATAAATTAAATTAAATTTTTATATTTATAAATTATTTATTTATTTTTTATATTAAGGATAAGAGGTAGTGTAATCTAATTGAATAAATAAATGAAACCAAAAAAATTCTTCTTGCAATAAGAAATACCTGTGTTGCTTGATTTCGTTGATTTCTGTGTTGAGTTTCAGATTCAAACGGACAGTTTAGATACCACATCGGTACACCATCGGCGTCTATAGCGGCTCGCCTCGCCCTGTCCGAACCGACCCCACTACTGACGCTTGGCGGAAAAGCTTCATCACAGTCTATTCTCTTGCTTTCGGCGAGAGATCTTGACGGTGGCTTTTGATTCTTTGCTTGAATTGCGGATTTG